CCTCTGTGGGGCCAGAGCTGCCTCAGGAGTTTCACCCCTGAAGTGCCCCATATCCAGCAAGAAAAACCTTCTGTCTGCTTTGCTCAGCTCTGCTCTGGGTGTCGATGGGTGCTGGGGTCCTGCAGGGCCACCCACCCCCAGCTGTGCCAGCCCCATTCGGGGGTGCTGAGCCCAGGGTGGGCACATGGGGTTGGGCTGATGATGGTGGCCAGATGGCATCGCCACAGCCTGGCCTGGAAGCCTTGTCCTGGTGTGTCCCTGGGCAGCCCTCACCCCTGGGCAAGGAGTTTTGGGAGTGCAGGTGCAGCCTGGCAGGGGCTGGGGTGTGAACCAGCCTTGTGGTGCTCTGCTGGCACAAACCATGATGGGAGAAGGCTTCTGGGAGCTGTTATGAAATATCCATCACCAACTCATGAGGAATTTCGGGGAAATCCCCTGGAGCAGGAGCAATCCATGAACAGGCTGTATTTGCAGCAGCCCATGTCCTGCACACCACGGCAGGTGGGTTCTGGGGTTCCAGTGGGGATGTGGTTGGAGCTGTTTGGCCTCTCCAGGCTGGAGGGAATGGTAGAAGCTTTAAGGAGGGATGCACTGCCCATCACTCCCCAGGGCTGGAAAAACCCCTGCCACGACCTGGCAGTGCCAGTGCCAGCCATGTGGAGAGGGGCAAGTCCTGCTCTCCCTGCTCTGACACACACATTTTGGACCTGAGGGTCCTCCAGCCACTTGGCTGCTGTTTCAGCACCTCCAAGAAGAGGCACCATGTTATAATAATATAAATAACTATGCAAAGGCAAAAATACGTGAGAAAAAGTTTGGTTTGCCATCCCTTCAAGGCTCTTTTTTGGGGGGGACTTGCATTTTCAGTTTCCATCTTTTTCACCAGGCTGTTCCTCTCTCCACCTGCATTATGAGCAGGTGGAATCCTGCTCATAATTAAACTTCAGTGTTTGGATACAGCCCATTGCAGCTCATGGGCTGATTCTTACCAGGGCCAAGAAATAAGCAGAATATTTTTTCACTTCTGCAGGGTTTCTCCCAGCAGCTCCTCAAGGGTCGTCTCCGGTGTTGATTAACTTTCTCAGGACTCCTGGGAGATGGTGACTGTTTAGGAAGATTCTCAGTAGGGGGAGAGCAATCCAAGAGGCAGGATGATCCCTGGAGGACAGGGGGAGCATCCTCTTGGATGGGGCTCAGGGTGAGGGTCTGGGGGGCCCCGGGGGTGACCCAGCCCGGCTGCCCCCTGGGTTTAGGAGCTGGAGAGGCGGCTGCTCCCTTCTGGGGGGCCACACGGGGCTCCCCTGCCCTGTTGGCGGCTCCCAGTATGGACCAGTGCCGTGGAGCAGCGGAGCACGGGAGGGACGGGGCAGCCCCAGCCCCGCGCCGAGCCCCTGGCAGTGGGAGCAGTGGGAGCAGTGGGAGCAGTGGGAGCAGTGGGGACGGGCACAGTGGGGTCAGTGTCCCCCCTTCCCTGGCAGCAGGAACAGTGTCCCACCCCCGGGCCGAGCGCGGGCCGCTGGCACCATCTAGTGGGGTTTGTGCGGGGACCGGCGGTGCCGCCGCCACCCGTGTCCCTGCCCTGTCCCCGGGCACCAGCACGGCCCCGGACCCCCCCACTCCAGGGGTCTCCCCCAGCCCTGTGCCCCCGGTCCGTTGGTTCTACAGCCCAGGCTTGGTGGGGTGGGTTTGTGCCTGAGCCCCCCGCCGGTGCCCCCACAGTGACAGAGGTGACAGAGGTGACAGAGGGGGTGTTTGGGGGTACAAGGGGCTGCCTGCAGGGCTGGGTCCCCCCTACACGGGGGAACATCGCCCTGCTCACCCCTAGGCCAGCAGTCGTGGGGGTCTGGTGACCCCCATGGGTGGTCCAAGGGGTCGGACACTGGGCTGGGGGGTGATGGCAGGGCGAGCCCTGGACTCTGCACAGGGCGGGGTTTGGGGTCCGGCACCCGAGAGACCCCCAGCCTGGCTGCGGATCTTCCCAGCACAGCCCAGACTGGGGGGTCACACAGAGCCCCCCTGCTCTTGCTCTTCAACAACCAGCTGGATGTTTCCTGCACAACATCCCTTTAGGAAATGGGAGTGTGTAAACCATGGGGTGGGAGGCAAAGCTGGTGGCTGGGTCTGCCCTGCAACTTTTTTGGTGCTGGGTAGTGACAGGGTGAAGTGTACCATTAACTCCTTTTTCCTTTTCTTCTTTCCCTTTTTCTTCTCCTCCTCCTTCCCCTTCTCCTCTTCCTTCATTCTCCCTTTTGTTTTCAAACAATTCAAAGCACAGCCCTCAGGTATGGGGCAGTGCTGGGGTACAGCAGCATCCCACAATACTTGTGGGGTGTTGGGAGCCAGGACTCCCCTCAGGTTGCCCGTGCCAGGGGGAGCTGCCCCATTCAGGTCACCCCACGGCACAGGGGAAGACTCCATCAGCACCAGAAAAGCCTGAGATCTATCTATTTGTGGGTTTATTAGGCCAGGAGGAAGGCTGGGGGAGGCCCATCTCTGCCCCTCTTACCCCTGTTTCTGTAGCCCACCCTGGGCATGGGGGAAAGGGCTGAACCAGACCTGGCTCAAGCCCCAAAACGAGGGTCCCTCCCCTGCTCCCCTTGGCAGCTGCCACGTGCCCCCCACCAAGGCTGATGGCATGAAGTGGGATGAATTCAGGCACGTCCACAGGGGAGGGAATAAAGGAGAAACAACAAGCTGCAAAATTCTGACATTACTCCCCAGCGTCCAAACTCCTCACGCCAGCATGAGTTTGTAAAATAAAATAAGTGCTTTCCTCCCCTTCAAAAAAAAAAATGGTGAACTTCTTTTAGAGCCTGAATTGTGCTGGGTGATAGTGACTGGCAAGACAGACAAAACCTAGGGCTTCAGGCTGAGGATTTGTCTCTCCTGGTGGATTTAAGCAGTCCCTGCCCTGGGAAGCAGCTTTCCAGGGTGCTGTGCTGGCCTTGCACCTTCCCCTGATGTAGGATGGTGCCAGCACACCCTGGGCACTCGTGGCACAGGCAAAGGCTCCACGTGCATCCTGCACTGCCTGCAATGACAGGAGCCTTTTTTTCCAGCATCACTTTAACTTGCCTGCCTACACCACGCACAGAATTAGCCAACCCTGCAAAGCAATGGAAGAGAAAACAGTCCTGGCTGCTCCTGCATGAGCTGCTGTTTGGGCAGCGCCACTGGACAGTGAGCCACCACCAGCTCCTGCTCTGCCAGGAGGGATGCACGGGGAGACTTGGAAATGGCAGTTCAGGACCCTTTGCTTTGGGTGGCTGAGAATTTATGGGTGCATTGATAAGCTGGGTTTGAAAGTGGAAGGAAAACAGGGTATTACACCTGGAGAACAGGGAGCCCTGGCTTTGCAGGGAGGGCTGGCAGGGGAGGCAGGTGGAAAAAACCAGATGAAATTTCTGCCAGGAATTTTGCTTTGTCTTAAAAAAAAAAAAAAAAAAAAAAGAAAAAGAAAACAACAAAAACCCCAAACCAAAACCAAACAAAACCAAACAAAAAACCCCAAAACTAAACAAAAAACCAACAAGCAAATGAAAAACAAACAGCAAAGCCCAAAATACAGTTCGAGCAGATTAACACCTCTCCCAGGGGAGCTGCATGGCAGAGCAGCCCTGGCCCACACCATTGTCACCTTCCCAGCTCAAGTAAGGTCAGAAGCTCAGTTTTATTTCATTCCCATTTCAGAGGAGCACTGGCCAGGCAAGGCAGCTCCCCCCATCTCCCAGGGCACAGCCCAGCTGAGCAGCAAAGCCACCTCCTTGTAGGACTCCTTGTCAAGGGCTGCTGCACTCAGTAAGGTCCAGCACAGCAGAAAGCTGGTCCAGTATAATTATGTGCTGGCATAAAAATACTGACCACATGTTAAAACTTAAAGTAGGTCAGGCAGCCATCTGGTCTTGCTGACAGACCTCCACAGACCATACTTTAAAAGATTCTTATTTTAGAAACTTCACAGCTTGGGTAAAATTTTGAAGACCGACCATAAACATGTTTCAGCTGCTGCTCTAACTCCAGGGGTTAGAAAAACCACAGCCTGACATTTATTGGCTCCTGTTTTAAAAATAGCTAAAGCTTAGTCTACTTCTGCTAATTAAAAATCCTAATTTCCCAAATGTGATTGTCTCAAACTCCTGCCCAAGGTGTCAGGTGTCCTAAGGCTCACTCACCCCTGGAAATGGAGAGGATCAAAGCCCTGCATGGGCAGCTCTGTTCTTGAGCATTATTCTTGAATGAGAGCAGCATTATTCTTGAATGAGAGAAAATGAGGCAGGTTCATGGCTTGGGTAGCTGTGCCTGCACTGAGAACACCCAGGTTTTCCCAGGATGGAGGGATGCACTCATCCCTTACTCTGCTACAGAGCCCATGGCAGAGCCCCTGGGTAAAGGGTAATGAGCAGGTGGAAGAATTAAAAAAAAAAAATAAAAAAAATTGAATTATTCCACTCCCCATTTCAGGTGTCCAGACACATCTCAACCTGCACAGGGCACATGAGAGACATTTACCTGCACCCCTGCTGCCCCTGCAAGCCCTTTGGCCAAGACACATAACACCCTCCCCAAGGGACACTCTGCAATCAGCTGAGCTGCCCAGGGTGAAGTTCTCTTTCAAACTGTGATAAAAGAGTATAAAATTGTCACATAACTCATAAAAGCAGCCATTTTACTTTTAGGGCTACCTGAAGACTTCTTCAGCAGTGTTTTATTCCTGTTGTATATTCAGAGAGGTCTGAGTGAGGATTTTGTGCTGTGCCAGCCAAGTGCTCAGCAGAAGACATTTCCTTCTAAACCCACATTTCCTGTAGCTTGTGCAGCTCAGGTTTCTGCTCTCCAAAACAAACTGCTTTGCTTGAACTTCTCCCCAGTGGCAGGGCTGAAGAGTCTTCTGCATCCCCCACAACAGCACTGCCCCAGAGCAGATCTTGCAGACCTGAATTCAGCACATAAAATAACCTGGAAGCTTTGCAGTAGATAAATGAAATAAAGAGACTGACCCCTTTTTTCCAAACAGTTCACATTTATTGATAACGATAAAAAAATCTTTTAAAGACTATCTGTATTTTATTACCAAGAATGAGGTATTATGTATACAAAACATTTACAGAATTTGATATGCAGTTCATGAGGAGAGACAGTGAAGTGCAGAAGGACACTGATAACATGAGAAGTGCCAACAGAAGAGTTACTGGTTGAGAGAAGGAAGAAGAGCAGTAATATCACATAAAGAAAGACCAGTGTAGGGGAAATTAATTAGTCAGACTGCAGTGATCAAGTCATATTGCCACAGCACTTTGCTTAGAGGAAGATTAACTATTATTTTATCTTCCCAGCTGTTTGTGCTGTCATGTGCTTTGAGCTCTAAAAGATGTGTTAAGATCAACAGCAGGAAAAACCCAAAGTGCCACTTTTGAGCCAGCTCAAGTGAAAACCAAAACACAGATCTTCAGACTTGAAAAGGGACTGCAACTCAAAAAGGTCTACAAAGCCAGACACCTCTGGACAGATGTGGAGTGTTGAATGAAGCAGATTCTTTACAGTTGTCAGCAAAATCGCCATCTGAGAGAGAGAGAGAGAGAGAGACAGAGACAGAGAGAGAGAGAAAGGGGACCACCTTCAGCCCTTACAGCCTGGTAAGTGGCAGTGGAATGGCTGCTGTGCAGACACTGGGTGGGAGCTGCTTCACACCAAAGCAGTGGCCTGTCTCACACAACTGCCCACTTTGGTAGCCTAAGTAACAGTCTAACCTCCATCTTCAATTTATAAGTCCTTAAAACCCTCCAAAATAAACCAGTTTGGTTCAGTTTAAGGAGACTGGTCGCTCAGCACCTCTAAATCTGCTGCTAAAATACTTTCAGCTCTGCCACATCTCACAGCCAGAACTGGTCTGCAGGAGGTCAGTAACCTGCCTCTCAGGAGCTCTGCAGGCATAAAAAAACTTTATTCTGAGTTCAGAACCAGCTTTCCTCAGGCAGGGGGTCCAGAGCCTCGAGTGAGTTCTGCTTTTTAAGTGCAAGCTCCTCTCTACCACCTACCCCCATCAGTGCTGCTCCCCAGGACAGAGCCTTCCTAGCAGGGGCTGCAGCACAGAAGCTCCTTGTGCCTGGATGGACAATTTAGCTCTAAGAGGGTGAGGAAAGACCAAGCAGGGTCTAACGGTGCAAATCCTGCAGCATTTCAGACCTAAATCTTCTCTGCTCCACTGCCAGGCGTGGTTTGTAGTTGTCTGACAGCCCTTTGCTCAGCACTTCAGCCTTTGGAGCCTTTCACTGTACGTGGAGAGAGGGCTCAAGGTGCAAGAACACCTGAATGGACTTTTAACAAGAGTTCAACCTGGGCCTGGGCAGACAGGGACAAAACCCACAGTGGCAGTGGCAATAGTGAGAACAATCCAGAAAATGCTTAGAGCATCTTCTCCTGTGTCCCCCAGAGGGAAGTGCCCTGTGCTCCCTGCCCACACTAAAGCTTGTGCTGCTCAGAAGTGAAGTGCTCTGTTTCTGACAGGGAAGGACAGGAGGCCCGAGGGAGTGAGAAGTGAACAGGAAGGATGTTAAGCCATACCTCCTTCAGACTGATTCAGGCAGCCAGCTAAAGCTCTGCATAAATTCCTGGTGAGAACAGAATCTCAGTAAAATCAACTCACTTGGAATGCACTAAGGAAGCAGAGTGAAGCTCCATCCAGCACAGAGCTGGGAACAAATCCTCAGAGCAGCTCTGGATCAGCCCAGCGTGGCACAGTGAGGGAGAGCCTGCTCTCTGCCTCTCTCTCTGCAGTGCTTCAAGCACAAATCCAAGGAAAAGAATGAATTGCTTTAACCCATCAAGACCCAGAGCTCAGATTTCCCCAAAAAATGTGCTCATACAAAAGGTATATTTAGTGTTTACAGCCTGGCCACAGCTCTGTGGGCATGCTTTGAAAAAAATGGACTCACAAAGTCAAGTATCCAGCAACTGCTGTTCTTTGTCTCGGACATCAAGAGTGGCAATGGGAGAACAGTTTGCAGCACTGGAAGGTCACGGGGGATTTCTCAGGATGGCAAGGAATGTCCTGACAGGAGAATTGCAGTTGATCTCTAATGCACTACAGAGCATTTTTGGTAGGGTTTTTCTCTTTTTTTTTTTTTTTTTCTTTTAAACATCTACACAGTTAAAAAAAAATATTCTTAACTGATGCACTGGTTGTTTTTCCTTTTCAATAAGAGCCCTTGTGTTCAGAGTTAGGATCTGTGCAAGCACACTTGCAAAAATATTTATGGCTGAGTTAGGAAAAAGGGTTAAAGAGACAAGCTGCTGGATCTAACAAAGACCAAAACCACTAAGTGTAAAATTCAAACAGCTACTTTACTATCTATAAAAGGTTTTTGTGGGGTGGGGTTTTTTTTTTGCACAATTGCCAGTTGAATATGCTGTATTGCAGTCAGCTGCCACGGGCGAGGGTCCAGCCATCACATCCATTTGCTTTTCAGCTGTTGTGGCACTACCTGGAAATCATGGAGCTGGAATGGGACTGGCTAGAGGAGGTGGTGGCAGCACTGAGCTGGGAGAATCCACTGTGGCTTGATTCAAGGCTGGTCATAGATCCCCTGCAATCAAAAAGAAAAGTGCCTCAGAACATGCAAAGATTTTGATTTCTCTGTATCTACATTGCATTTGTTTGCACATTGAATAAAAAGCAAGTAAGAGCTTTGGTGCAAGATACTCAAAAGCTTTTCTGCCTCAACACATAAAATAATGAGGACACTGCAAGCCTTACAAAAACCAGATGCTGTTCAAAGAGACTGGGAAATATTTTCAGTCAAGTTTGTCAACAGGCAGGCAACAGAACTGACTCAATTCCATTCTGAATTGTACCCATTTCTACCTGCCAAGCCCAACAACTCACACAGGGCTTTCAAAGCAGAGCAAAGTGGCCAGTGATGATTACCACAAGATAACTAATTAACCCCTTTTATACATCAGTTGCTCTCAGTGCCAATACTGGTTGATTCCTTTTTTTAAGGCCCTCACAATTTACTTATATTTAAGTGAATTTGACACTGGCTTGATCATCTAAGTATCAAAAAGGTTTGACACTGGTTGACCTTGGCCAGACATACCTGAAATCTTCAGATCCTATCACTTCTGTATAGTACATCACTTTACATTTGTGAGAGGACACCTGTAGAGATGCCAATACATCATCCACACGAGGCAGGTTGGTTGTAGCACAGGCAGGCATGTTGTGGAACTTCCACTGCAGAATATAGAAACCAGGCCACCTGGTCACGTGGGAGCCCTGGAAAAAGACACAGCAAAAATTAGAAAAATTAACTTTGTTAATAAAGATTCAAAAAATTTGAAATTCCTTTTCCAAGCTTGGAAGAAGTGCCCACATGCCCGTTATTCTTCCCCAATGCCAATATTTCAGCTCCTCAGCCAACTGGCTGTGCTGGGTGACTTCCCACAGAACGTGCTCATCAAAGTTGGGACAGAACACCAACAGACAGCTCCTCTGGCTTTTTGAGAGTGTCCAGGGGTTACTGAAAGGACAAAGTTCTGGTTTAAAACAATATCCACTTTTTCCATTTGTCTTCATTAACAGCTGTCCTTCGAGACAGTGAAAAGGGCACTCAAGGCTCCTGCCTCATGGAGAGTGCAGTGCAAGAGGTCACTGCCCATATTTCCAGTTTAACACTTCCAACCAGGTGACTTAAGGAGCTCCTTTTTCACAGGCTGCCCTACTCCTGTTTCAAGTCAAAAGGAACAGCAGTGGCAGAGTGTGACTGTAAATACACTGCACAGAATATCAAACTTGTTAATTAAAAGACAGGTTGAAAATGGCATAAAAAAAGTTTCAGGAACTTTGGCCACAGCCTCACAGTGGCTGTTAGAGGGACAATCACACAGAAGCTCAGTCTTAATTTCCAGACTTCCCTCACTACTGAGGGAAGGCACTATGATATTCTTCAAATACAGACTGTTTGTCTCAGAAAATAATAGTAAGAATTACAGCACAAAGCGTGTTCTGCTGCTTTCTGGATGTGCACTTCATTCTAGGTGGCTTCTCTATGTTCCTTGCTGATCAACCTCAGTCACTGTTGGACTTATGCAACCCCCCCTCCCAGCAGATCCCACGTAAATCCAGTCCCTGCTCCCTGCAGCATCCAGCCTGGAATATGAGCTGAAATGCTGGCCAAGAGCAAGCAGACAGCCTGGGACTGAATCACCAGTCTGTCGTCAGCCACTGTGAATGAGAAGAGGCAGTTTTGGAGCCGGGCTCCATCTGCTCCCACACGAGGATCTGGTGCCTCACCTGCACACTCTCCCCTTCCTTGCAGATCAGGGGAGACTCCACCATGCTGTAGTCACGTCCCAACTGCCAGACTTTGTCTATCAACTGGACGTTGTTCCCACCAGGAGATGTAATGCTGTGGGCTCCCAGAGAGTCCTTCTTGGGGGGCTGTGGGGCCCTCTTGGAATGGAAGATGTTAAAAACGATGTCGCCCTTGCACACGTCAAAGTCCCACGTGATCACAGATGAGGCATCCACGATCTGAATGAGAACCTGCAACAGGAAAAGTCATATTAGACAACAGCTATTTGCTCAATAAAGGCAAACTCCTACCAGAAAAAAAAAAGACAAAGGACAGAGCTTTTTGTTGCGGGGCTTAGTTTCCATTGTTAAAAAGTCAAGGTTTTTTAATAGTTGAAATGAGGCATTGAGATACAAATTCCCCCCTGTTAGGGTGTCTTTATTATAACACACAACTTTAAGAAGCTCTCAAGCAGGTTCTGAGAATATTGTTTGCTTTGCTTAGAAGAAAAGGGCTTTGAACAGAATGAAAACTGGTGATATTCTCAAAACGGCAACAAGACGACGCCAGGAATGGTCACAGACTTCAGCAACTAAAGCATCATTATGCAGCACAACTACAGAAGAACAAGGTGGAAGCACAGCAACTAAATAATTGAGCTCTAAACCATCCTCAGTCCACCAGACAGAGTCCAGAGCAGCAGCTGAGATGAAAGCCAAGGTCAGGCTGCAGCCATACCTCATGTGGAGCTCCTTTGAAGACACTTGCAGACTGGTAGATTGTTTCAGTCCAAAGCTTTATGTCTTCATTTTCCAACTCTTCTGCTGTCCGGTAGAGGGACTTGGGAACCAGCCCACCCTCTGGTACTTCACACTAAAAACAAACAGCCATAAAAATTATCTCCTGTGACCATTCCCTCCCTGTCACGCTCTCTGCCTCCCATTTCAGAAACAAAACCTCACATTCAGCAAGGGTCCGAAGAATGAGATGCAAACAGTGGGAAAGTAATTTTATAGCTTGTACATTATACATACATAAATTCTTTTACAATGACCTGGCTTAGGTGTTTGCAGAACAGGACACCAGAGGAACAGCTCTTATACAAACACAACAGCCAGCAGCAGGGAAAAGGGCTGTGCAAATGCTGCAGTTATCACTCAGACCACCTTACACTGAAGAAAGATGTGAGTCACTTCAGAACCCTGAGGAAAGTGGCAGTAGTGACTCAGACTGAAAAACAGAGCCTACAGAGACCTGAAAGAACTGGGGTAGCTAAATTTAAGGATGGATACTGGGAGATACAGTAAGTTTCTGAGCAGGTGAAAGGACACTGTAGCCAGGAAGGTAACAGTTCTGAAGTTACAAACTGTTGACAGCCCAGTACTGGAAGTGATTACACAACTTCCCTAAGCAACCTTCTTTTTTAAGAAGCCTCTAGCAATAGAGTCAGACAACTATTTGATCAGGAGAAGGTTCCACAGAAGTGTCTGGGGCAGTGGAAGTGTTTGGTAACTGAATTACAACAGAGAACTGAAAGGTTCTCAGGAAAGTCACTTTTGTTCAACTACCCAGAAGCAAAGAAGAACAGAGAGATTCTGCCACTGCCTGTAACTGGCAGGAAGTATTGTAGCAATTTGCTTTCTGGTAACATTCATTTTTGCTTACTTAAGCAGTGGATTTTGCCAGCTTCCAGCTCCAAATTAGATAACACTGAAAGCTACTGCTGCAGCAAAAAGCAGCCCACTGAAGATAAACACGTGCTCTACTCCAACACATCTAAGTGTACTTCATTATCATCTGAGACTGTATTTGAACAGACATAGATGTATTTTCAAGAATGGTACAGAAATTAATCTAGAGAGTGTACAGGGGCTTAAAACACAAGCTTGAGATTCTATTTAAATACAGCTGAGTTCAGACAAAAAAAAATAACTTAAGTGTTACTATGATGGAGGTTCCAGAAAAAAATAATCCACCAGTAAGCCTGTGTTGTCAAAAACATTAAAGGGAAAACAGACCTGACAGTATTATCGAGATGTTACAATGCCAGATTCAACTGATACCCAGAGCCCAGACAGGAAACAGCTATTAAGGCATGTGACAAGGGACTTAGAAATTACAGTATCCTGCAGTAAAACGATTTTTCTGCTTTGCTGGGGGTCAATTCACACCATTGTGTGAGGAGACAGGGATGTTTGTTGAGCCCTGTTAGCAGATGTGCCTCACGTTTCCTTGGGCTCCTTATGGCATCAGCTCTTTTAGGTCACACGGGCTCTTTTGATCAGCTGATGGTGACAGTTCTTGCTCAGAGCTGTGTAACCTTGTCTGCTTGAACTTGTCAGGTAACAGACTGTGGTTTTGAACTGTGCTTGGCTATTTTGATAAGCTATTTGATACTCACTGTAGAGAAGCACTGTACTTCTCTTTTTGAAGTGGATCCACGAAACACCACTAAGCCATCTCCAAACTACACTAGGAATCCCTCTGTGCTTTGAGGTTTCTTTGCTTAGAGGAGTGGAAAAATATTAAAAAACTCCCCAGATAAGCTGCTGTATATGCAGTAGTTTATATTCATACCATGCACTCTCCACCAAGGAAATCAGGGATAATTTCTTTATCGATGTAATCCAACAGTCCCCCAGGACCCTGGTAGTCATTTCCAGCATAAATAAGGAATTTCTTTCTAGTGTTGTCATCAATGAATGGACTAACCTGCAAACAAAGAAAAACAGAATAGATCAGGCTCTCCCATTTTTCTCAAGTCAGTTTTGAAAGAGTCAGTTTGATCACACTGAGTGTTACCATCCTGGTTACACAAAGTTCACACTACAAAGAAGCCAAATTAACCAACTATGTGAGCAAGTTCTGAGGTGGTGTTTTTTAATCCACTGCAGGAATCCTGTAAAAGACATGTTTCCAAATGGCAACATTTCCTGCTCATAAAACCTGATCTGTAAAGTGCTTTTACAAACAACAAGTGTAGCAGTGTATTGAGACAGCTGAGTAATACCTTGAATTACAAACATACCAGTGTCCAAAGAACTGGGAATACTCGAGGTGCTCTTAGGATAAGAAGACGACCCAAAGTCTCAGGATAATTGGCTTCAACCACCTCAATGATTCTCAGCAAGGCCTTGACACCAGGTCTCCATAAATGCCTCATGTTCAAGCCTTCCAGATCTACTAGACAGGTCCAGGAGCTGAATTTGAGAAAGACAAGAAAAAAAAAATAGAAAAATCTCAATAGCATCAAAATTCCCCTTTCTTATGCAAGTGCCCAACACACTGAGATGTGTGGAGCCCACTGCATGTTTTGGTTTCTCCTGTTTCACCTCCTTGCTTTTTGGTACCTGCAGACACCCCAGTTAAAGGTCTGCCTTAAGAGCATGCAATGATCACTTTGCACATCATGCAGATTCCCCCACAGATATTCCAGACTCAGGGTAAAGGTTCATATGAAGCCAAAAAAAAAAAATCCTGTCAACAGCCAGCCCAAACATTGAACCAGTGCTTTTACTGGGAGATCAATTAAGTGGCCACGCTGCTGCCACGAGGCAATTTGACATCCACAGGGCAGATTTCCTGCTAACACGCTGCAGTAATGGTGCCAATATATGTCACAGCTAATTCTGTTGTCAGATCCCAGGGAGAGAAGCTTCTTCTAGGGGGAGAGATATGTTCTTAATACTAATACTGAGCATCAGCACATGTTTCAGTTACTTTCCAAGTTCAGGTCTCGCCCTGGGCAGGAATTCAAGATTTACAGCTGTGCTGCACCAGCCAGCAGCCATTACATTATGCATAAGGTTTCTATGAAACACCAAACCCTTCTTTGTTTCACTTTAAATGTTTAATATGCAGCCCTTTAGGATTATGGCTACAAATGAACATCCAGTAGGCAGCACAATTTCAGTTACACATGAAACCTATCCCGGGGACGTGACCTCCCACTGACACCCAGGACAGCAAGTTCTGTACCAGGGAAAAGATAAGCAGACACACCACACATCCCTGGACCTTACAGATTAAGGGAAGGAGGTAGAAATTGAAGAGAGGCCAAGAAACATGAGATCTTTTCAGGGATGGTCCTGCATTCGTTCCACACCCATAAATCCACTTTGCAGTTGACAATTTCATAAGTGACCCTACAATGACTGAGGGATGGGACAGCAAACCATTTGTGACGGAATTTCACCCGAAGTCGTGACAGTACCTGGAAAACTAGACCCCAGGTTTCAGAGGAGCCTCGTGACCTCACCTTAGATCGAAAGCTGAGAAGCCACTTACAAAAAATGGAGAGTGCAAACAAGAACTGAGTGTAACAAGCCTTGGTATGGACCATGGATGAAGAAGTGACATGAAAGCAACACGTGAAATCCATGGTATTATCATGGTCTTACTTTTTGTCAGCCTGTACCAATGCCTGTCTATAAAATCCCCCCAAAACAGAAATGGGAGTTAGGCTGCACTGCTTTGCAGAGATCCAACAGCAGAAGAGAGAAGCACAGCAGCCCCAAGTAGAATCATCAGGAGTATGAGACTGAGGCTGCTGGGGCAGATGTGCTTCCCTCAGGCTGCCCCAGGCACACTCCCTCTGTCACTAACTGGGGAGGCTTCACTAAACTGTACCTGTGCTTGTTCCTGCACGTGAGACACAGCCCACCCTTCACTTGTTCCACTGCCCAGCATTCCCCACAGGCACACCATGAAAGCAGGTAATTCCCAAAGAGCAGATCCACCTGTTATTTTACCTTATTGGCCTGCCAAATACTTTTGTATTCTCCTCACATCGCCTCAGTCCTTCTTCATTTATTGAAAGAACCTGTACAAGAAAGTGTGTGGTTTAGAGAAGAGTCTCAAACTCAGTAGGCGGGATAAAGCAAAATATGTTTATATCCAAAGACTAATTAAAACTACAAGATCAAACCAGCATAAACTTTTTTTTCCCCACAAAGAGTGAACTAGAAATCTCTACCATTACCCCTAGTTACTCAGAAATTAAAGCTCCTTTTTGAAATCACAAAAAGTAAACCCTGAAACAGAACTAGGGCAAACAAAATTTACTGTCTGCCTGGAAATGCCACTGGAAGAGAAACATGAAAATCCAGTCCCTGCTTCTAACAGTTGCTATGGTTGTGACTGTCATTATTAGGAGTCAAAGTTAGTGCAAGCCTGGAATTCTGCCAGCTTTCTGCCTGGAAACTGAGCCGACCCACAATAACAGAGTCTGAGCGATGCCTTTAGGAAAGGCAGAATACAGGCAAGCACTTTTTCTTAAAATTATTCTTCTCCTTGGAGTACAGGCTTGACAAAATCTGTGGCGTTTTCTCTTCTGTGCAAATGCAGAGTCAAGCTTGAAGCCCTGCACGAGTGCGGAAGAATCAGTGAAAATGCCAACCCACAACTCCAGGAGCTGCCAAGACTACGCCTTTCAGTTTGCAGTTGGGAAGAAGGCAGAAGGAACAGCTACCAGGAGCTTTCAGATGTGTTCAAACCAAAAACAGACAGCCAGAGAGCACATCAAAATACCCAGAGCGATGAATGCTCCGGCAGAGGAAATTCCTAAATGAAAATATCACCCCATTAGCAACTTGCAGGGTCCAGAAATACTCACGTATCGAAGCAGGGCCTCTTCCCCCAGAGCTCTCACTAAACCTTTGGTGTCCATCTGTCCCAACCTCAGCACGTACAGCGGGCGACCGTCTGCACAGAGAGACCAAACCACCACAGTGACCCTCACCTTGCAGCAACAGACAGTTTGAGCGAGCTAGTTTTATGCTAAAACTTCAAACAGAAACAAATCACAACCAGTTAAAACTCCCCTGCAAGAGGAATAACCCAGAGCAGGCGGCAACATAAACTGGACCCTGTGCAGCTTCACCAACAGATTATCTGTAAATGAGCTGCAACACTCGAATCGGGAGGTTAAAGGTTTTCTGATGCAAAAGTCTGCAAAGACATCCTGATGCAAAAATAGCTCCTTCAAGGACTTCAAGTGACTTGGTCTACACAATTAACGACACAGGACTGTTATCAGCTTCCAGGACACACTAATGAACTCAAGTGTTTCCTGTTAACTGCGGAGCTGCAGTGGAGGCTGTAAGGCCTCTATCACACATGATGCAATACTGCTCTGGATAGAACTGCAACCCTTCTAGAAAAGTAGCTATGCTGAGTTCTGGGAATTAATGAAATGAAGTGTTAACCCAGAGCTTTGCCTTCTGCAGTGTTTGCTGGAGCCACACTCCGAGCTCTGTCACTCTGCGGAACTGGCACACAGCCTGGCTTATGCAGGTTAAGCCTGGTGAGAACAGACTCTGCTCCTGAGATCAGCTCAGCTGGACCCTCTGCATTAGAGTTCTGCCTTTCCACAGTCATCTGGCTGCACACTTGGGCAGCCTAGCACTGGCAGGATGCTAAGGCATTAAGCTAAATAACTGTGTTGGCTGAATTTGAGAATCGAAGCTTGCATTTCTGGCACTTCCTAATAGGAGATAGTTGTCCAAAACAGGTCCCAGCCTCCTCTCAAACCTGTGATGCACTTTTTAAGCTTTGCTTCATCTATTCTAACACACAGGCTAAATAATCAGCAACTTATAAAAGTGAATATGTTAAAACACAAAGAAGAAAAAAAGAAAGCTTTCTACACGAAAGTCTCCCTCAAGTCCTGTTGTCTGTGCAACAGACTGCAAGAGGGGTAACAAATTATCATCAAGTCTTCTGGGACACAAGGAAAGAAACTGTAGAGACACACTATTAAAAAAACCCAACAACCAACCAAAACTGCAGAGTCAAGGCAAGTTATTAATTTGGCAAAGACAGCACCCCCACGCAAGTTCCTTCGTCCCCTCCCCTCCTCCCCCTCCCCTCCCTCCCACACCCTCTCCCCCCAAACCCCCCTCCTCCCTCTCCCTCCTACCCCCTCCTCCCTCCCTCCTCAACCCGCTCGTCCCCTGCGCCCCCTCCCTGCCCCACAGGGGCAGCCCGAACCCCCCAGCCCTCCTTCCTGCCCCTCCGTCCTCCGCCCCCCCTGTGTTTTATCAGGTGGATTAAAAGAAAATGTTATTTTAACATCAGCACACACTTATCTTGGAATGAACTGTTTCGCTCTGGAAACACTAAACAAAAACTGCTATTAAGCTTCATAGCAGGTCTCCCTCTCTCCCTCCCTCATGGATAGACATGCACATCCAAACCCAAACTAACAGCTCAGTAACCCTGGTCCACCCAAATGACACATGAAGGAGAGTCTCAGCTGACAGTGCTGTATTATTACTGTGCATTTTATACTCCATTAGAGCTTTGTGATTTTAAAAAGACATTAGATTGAAGCATTCCTGTCAAAATAAAAGCCACTCAGATGTACAGAAAACTGTGCTAATTGCAAGCCAAAATAATAACGTTTTTTCTTCAGCTCTGATAGCTCATTCCAGACAACGTGCTTCACAATCACTCTGCTTTTGCTTTAGCACTGAAAGCCAAAAGCACTCAGCCAGCTTAAGTTTGGCACATTTAGTATATGTAGGAGAAAAGGAGCAGTACTAGAAAAGGGGGTTTAAAAAAAGAACCTACCACTGTAAAATTTTAAATTACAGAGAATTGCTCAGTTCTGAAACTGTGTTTCCATTATTGACAAAGCCATGCTCTTCTTGTGGGCATGCTGCAGGAGAGATCAAAGGCGCTGGAGGGGAAGGGAGGGGGCATGAAGTTCACCACAAGACTGAAGAACTTCTCAGAAGAACATTAAACAACCTTTTGATGCATTCTGTACCTTCCTGCTCACTGGCAGGACCCAGTTTATGTGCTATTGACAGAGGGAGTCTTTGCAAAGTAAGGACAAGGAACTGGGTGAAAGGGAGGACTTATTCACAGGGGTTTTTTTTTCCCTACAATCTTTACAAGCACATTCTCATTTTCCACTTTCTCAGTCTGAGGTCTGTCAAACCCAAAGCAGCAGGGAAGAGCCAGGCTCTGATTAAACTTTTGCTGTGTCCTCCCTGTCTCCTGGCCACTACAGCTGGCAGCAATCCTGTCCTGTGTCATACACTGCCTGTAACAGGAAGAGCCAAGCAGAAACAATGGTGCCTAGTGGGAAAAGACTCAATCAGAACACAGATCGCTCACAGTGAGAGATCATTTCCTTATCTGAAGAGCCCAGCTTGCCTCAAGCCACAAATTCCAGCATGTTTCATTCCTATGTATGTATTAGCAACCAGATCAGTGCACACGATAAAGCAGAGGGACAGGGAGTGTGTCAGGCACAGTCGTCTGTGCTGCAAAGATCTGGCCCTGGCTCACCATGCAAAGGGAATTCAGCCAAAGCTCCTTCTCTTCTTAAATAAACCTGCTCTATTTGATGTTTTTGCAACATTCCACTTCTCATCATTAAGCTGACTGTAATGCCAAATAAATAATCATTTATGCCATCAGCAGACTTAAACGACATCAGAAATAAATTGATTACAAAGATGCACTTATTTGCAAACATCTTTTAATCACTGAAAGAGCACACTCAGCATTTGCCTAACACCCTTTTAAGCATCTCAGAGTACTACAGAAGCACAATTAATCGCTTTTTTTAAGCTCCTGGCAAAGCAGACTTAAACATGTGGGTATTAGTCAGAAAGCCTCTGATCTTGGAGTCTGCCTCCAGCAGCTCCTGGGAGCTGGCAAAGTCACTGCAACAGGTTGCCCAGAGAAGCTGTGGCTGTGGATGAACATTTCCATCCCTGGAAGTGTTCAAGGCCAGGGATGTTGGACAGGGCTCTGAGCAATCTCTGGTCTAGTGGAAGTTGCCCCTGCACATGGCAGAGGGATGGAACAAGATTATTTTAAGGTCCCTTCCAACCCTTCTGTGATTCTATGAATTCAAGTGTCTTTATTACATAACAACTGAGAAGTTCTAACCACCTTCCCAGTCCCCTCTAGTTAACCAGAGGGACAACTATCACCTTTGATTCAGAACACAGAAAGGCTGTGCAATATCCATACCTTTGTCATGGTGATGCCAGCCTCCTGCATAGTAATCCTGGAGTACTTGTGGAGGGTTCCAGGTGTCCAGAATATAGTCCACCTGGTGCTGCTTACGCCACGTCAGCGACTGGCAAAGGATCTCTCTTGCTTTATCAATGTTGAAGTCCCGGGCACGCAGGAATCTTAAAATGTGCTCATCCTTTGGGATCTGTCCACAAAACCAAACCCAGTTTTGTACTCGAGGTTTGAAACAAGAACAAGAAAAACAAACAACAGAAGCTGAAAAACGTGCAGCCCTGCACCAATGCAGGAGGAGGGTGTGTAACGCTGGAAGCTGCTCAAGGAAATCAGCCTTTGTTTGAAACAGTCACGAGCCCTGTCAGGGACTGCAGGTACCTTCATAAAGGAGATAAAAATTTCATGAACTCTAATGTAATCATTTCCACCTGTATGACCATACCAAGTCAGTCCAATTTAAATAAATCAGGACAAAACACAGACTGTATTTCATTGTTAAGTAAGAGGAAGCTGAGACACACATGCAAATCACAAGCTACTGGAAAAAACCCAGCTTTGCTATCAGTGATTTAACTGGCCCCACTGCTTCCCTTTCAGTATTTGAGACTGTGATGTTTGGCCAAAGCAAACAAATGCAAAAATAAGGTTATTGTAGAAACCAGGAAGACTTAAAAAACTGCTGATATTGCCCTGTGACAGTTTAGCTGACACTCTGAGAGGCTTTCACGCTGATTATTTAAGCCCCTCAGCCAGCAAAGTCAGCTGGACAGTCACAACAAACTCCTTCTGCAGTCACTGTTTTAATTCAGGTTTTGATCATGGGAGGCCACTTAACAGGCACAGTCAGGTACTGGGGGGTGGGGGTGGGTGTGGCAGGTTGTTTCATCAGGCCCACTTTGTACATCACAGGCTCTGAGCCACCAGTCACTTACTTTGCCTTTGTGCGTCTCCTGCAGCCACTGCCTCAGCCGGATGAGGCAGCTCTCCTGCATCGGGGTCAGGTCCCCCAGGTACCTCTTGATGTAGTCTGCATCTAGTTTGTCTAAAGAGAGATGTGCAGGGGATTAGAGTGGCCCTGGGCTGACCCAGGCAAAGCACCAAGTGATCTGCTGTGCTGCTCTCTCAGGCACAGAAGCGGCCGCTGCGTTCTGCGCGGTCAGAATTGAATAAAGGCTCTTCGAATCAATGCAAAGATGAGCAAGGCAGCACACACAGTCATCTTAATCAAGAAGATGAATTCTCCTTCTGCAAGCTAAGGAGGGGAGCAAAAGGAGACATTTTCAAAAGCATTTTGCCAGTATATTCAGACTCATCAATCCAGAGCACCACAGGGATTGCTGCTTACAGAAATACTCAGTGAAGCTTTGATCTCCCAGTGCAAGAATTTTCCCAAATTCCCTTATTAACAGGGGGAAGGCAGACACAGCAGAAGACCGTGTCCAGGGAAGCTTCAGCTGTTTCCTACTCATTATTCCTACACTTATACCCATCCCTGAATTTCAGGGCAAGAAGCAGACTGTTCATTTGCAACCTAATGAGCAGTGAAGAGTTTTTCTGCTCATACCTGATCTCCATTTACTAGATCAGTTCGTAACAGCTCCCTGAGCTATCCCACATGTCACTGCTTGGCAAGCCTGCACTTAAACATTGCATGCCACCAAACAAAGAGCCAACATGGAGCTTTTCCAGCTACTCATGAGAAGCTGCACAGTGCTGAGAGGCTCTACAGTACCAAGAACCCCAGTTAAACACCTCAGACCACCATACCATCTGGTGTTCCTGCAGTGGGCTCCGAGGGGCTGCTGGAGGTGTTGAGGATCTCCTTGTTGTTCAAGCCCTCCTTTGTGGCAGACTCTGGTATATTAATAGCAGGTGAAACTGGTCTCCTTGTGTGGGATGTGCTGCTCTCTGATTTACATGTGACAGGAGGAGTCCAGCGAGGAACAAAAGTTATTCCTTCTTCCTCCAGCTGCTTCAGGTAGTATTCTATTATTTCTTTTCCCTTCAAAAAAGAAAATTTACTTCAGCTACTAAAAAAAACACCCATCTAAGACACAGAAAGGGTTGGGCTGAACACATATAAAGTGGCCAGATCTCTGTAAAGATTCCACTTGAAACACAGCCCTACACAGACACACTGCCCCAGGCTAAAGAGGAAGCAGCCCAGCTTTCTGAGCAGAGCAGGCTGTTACTTAGCAGCAGCCTCATTGTCTTTTGGTAACTTGGAGCCAGGCACCTCCTTCCCAACTGCAGACTCACCTTTTTAATATTGCTGGTGTATTGCTTCATGGCAATCTTTTCCACTGTGCTTTCAAAACCAAAAAAAGATTTGATATCCAGACTTGCTGACTGTTCAAAACAGGTCCAGTCTTCATTGTCAGGATGGACCTGCAAGTTAAAAGATCATGCAGCTCAGTTACCCATTTAGGGGTTTTTTTCCTCTTCACACTATTTGAAATATTTCTTGTTTTATAGGTTCACACAGTCAAAAAACATTCAAGAGGAATCTGCAGTGTCTTCCTTCCCTTGCAAAACACGACTGGGAAGAGGCAACACTAAAGGACAAAAATCTGAGGAGCCCTCCTGTGGGACACGCCATTACTTAGAGCTGGACTTGATCTTAAAGGTTTTTTCCAACCTAAATTCTATGATTGGTGCTGATATTTTTAAGAAAAGCTGTTTTCTAAACTCTCTTCAGCTAAAACAGACTTGTTTAAGCCATTTCAGGGCTGGGCTCTGAACTTGTCCTTACACAAATGCTGGATTTCTGAGCATGCAACTGTCCTGATGCCTTAGGGTTCCCTTCCCCCTCAAAACATGCTAAAATTGACTTGGAACACTATCAGCACTTTATAAGGAGACAACTACAGAAAAAAAATACCTTCCCTTCTTTTGCTTCTTCTGCTTTAGGGAACAGGAGGTTCAAGAATAGCCTGTACAGACTAACTAAGTACAAATAATAATAACATCATGTAAGAATCTTCCTGTATTTTCATAAATTCAATTATCAATTACCTTTAATAAGAATGAACTTTTAGAAACAATTTATTCTTCCATTAAAAATCTGGTTTTGTATTTACCTAGTAATTTCTTAATTGAGTAGATCCAGGGCAAGAAATGTTGTGTTTTGTACATATTTACCACATGCACTTTTCTGTACAGCATTTCCCCTGTTTAAACAGAGCTTTCACAGCAAAACTGCAGGGGAAAAGTATTTTTAAACTTGCCTTGGAAATAATGGCAGAAATAAAAGTAAAAAAATATCAGATAATAGCGTCAAGTGGGTTTGACATCCAGTTATCTTTTAACCACAGGTCTGTACACAACAGAAAATGTTATGACCTGTACATAAAAGGAATGCTATAATAGAGATAAATTAGTTACATTTGTTAGCTTTGATCTGACCTTTAACAGCAATTTGAAGTTCTATTGCTATAGCATGTGCTTTAAGTGCCTATGGGCATAGGCTAAGCCATTCAGAAATAAAGCATGACCAGAGCAGAGCAATAGGCATGCCACCAGACTCCTCTGGATCAGAAAACATCTGCACTAAAGACCAAGAACAACGAAAAAAAATAGGTTAAAACATAACTGACTCGATGAACTTCTGCCTGAGCTGAGCAGAAGGCAAACAAGCTCTGCTGAACTTTCCTTTGACAGTTCTGTCAGGGTGTCATCAGCCTCACCAAGTCCCACACTGCTGCTACAGACCACAGATTTGCCTAAACAGAGCTGTCAAACACAGCAAATTGTGTTGTGTTCTGCTCTCTGAGAAGATGCTCAAGCAAGAGGGTGCCAAACGTGTCTCAGTTCTTCGAGCGAGTGTGTCACATTTAACTCTGACAACAATTATCACTCATGGCAGCGTGTTGGTTATTTTTTCTTGCGAGGCAAAAGCCAAGAACAACCCAACTTCTGTTTGTGTGAGTCCTGAAATCTAATCTAGCTCCATCTGTGGCACCACCAAGAGCCTGTTACTCACTGTGTAAGAGCAGTGCTCGTTAATGATGACTCTGTTAGAGAAGGTTTCATTGTAGGCTTCTATATGCAAAGTCCTCTCTCGTCTGTTCAAAGAGTTCTTCTGGACAAAGTAGACATAATCCACTCCTGCAATCTGAGGAAGAGAAGGTAAATTGTGTTAAGATACAACATGCATGTGAAAGGATTCATCCAGAAGTATAAAATGGGCACTGAAAAGCTCATCACCTTTTTCAGGAGCCGCGGCGCATCGATGTCCAGCTTACAGCGCCGCTCAATCACATGGATGGCTTCATCCTCACTCTTGTACTCATTTACAGTGTCACTGGCTACAAACATAGGGATCAGAGGACACGTAGGAAACCTTCTCTCATATGCCTACACAGATGGAAAGAGAAGAAAGCAAACGACCATCACACTGAATCCCCGAGGTGCGCACAGAATTCCTTCACTGATGTCACCAGCATTTGGAGGCTCAATGTCCTTCAGAGCGTCCGTGGAAGGGGCTGAGCTTTACTGAGTCCACATTCCAGCTGAGAGCCACAGTGTATTCCAAGAAACACATTTATTAATACACTCCTTTCCAGTAAAACGATTTTTAAAACACACAAAATACCTCATTTCTCCCCTCCCTCTGAAAAAGGCAGTTGTTCATTTTGTGCAGCGACAACCCTCTTGTCAGCAGTAACAGGAAAATAAGACCCTCTAGTTCTAAAATACCACAGCACAAAACAATTATGTGTAGGATTAAAAAAAAACCCCCACATGCTAATTACCGGTGTTTCACCAAGCTGTCCAGAGGGATTTTCTTACAGCTCCCAAAGGTCTCATAAAAACATTTCAAAAGCTATTTCTTAAGCTAATAGAGCTCTCAAGCTCCCTGTGCAGAGTGTTCATAATGATTTCACTGCAGTTTATCAGCTCACAGCTTTGTCCAACAACAGTCAGTCAGTCTTTGCAATACAATGAGGCCCTTTCACACTTCTGAAAATGTAAAGTTTTTGCAATAACACAGAGCTAGCAACAGCTTTGATTCTGGCGAAAGAATAAAGTCACTTGAATAAGTTATCTCCTAAATACTTGACACACAGAGAAAATGGCATTAAATCAGACACACTCAGACAGGATAGTAAAGAATCTGGGATCAGTAAAACAGGTAAGAGGAAAATGGGTGATATCCCCATTAATAAACTCGTCGAATTTTAGTTTTAGAACCACTGTGGCTATATAAAACAACACAACTGTTATTTTTTTCCTTTTCTTTCATAGTCACTGCAATAGCTCTGCTTCTCTTTGGCTTTTTTTTCTTAAGTAACTAATTCTTTAGCCTGCTTTCCACATCCCAAATTACTTCAGTTTTGCTGTTATCAGAACCTCACTGGCTTTGGTGAAAAGGATTTTGCAAGGTGTCCCAACGCAGAAGAAAGATTAAATAAAGTAAACCTCAGGGAACATCACGAAACAACTCTTTAAAAGAGCTAAAATATCCACCCTGTCCTTACAGATGATTTTAACTGCTCTGAATACAGCTGGGCTGCAGCACCAACAGGGAGAGGGCGTGGAACAAAATAAGCAGCAGCTGCACAAAGTATGCAATGGTGGGCCTGGAGGAGAAAAGGTCTCTTAATTCTCCCTTTAGAACAATTAAAATACTTCAGTTTATTACCAGTGTTCAAACCCAGTTTGAAGGCAGTGTTACTATGGTGACAGCGGGGCAAGGCACTAAAACAGTGCCGGCTTTTTTCCCTCGTGCATATTTTTAATCCATTTTTGCAGCATGACCGTCCCGAGTTCATAAAGCTCCTCTGTAAGGCCCCAGAAGCACAACCAGGGCAGGGGGACACATGGTCCCTTCTTCAAGAGTTCATCTGTGCACAGCTGGTTTTGTTCAAATGAAGAACAGCAATAATTTCTGGGCTCTGGGGTGTCTGCACAATAGAAGTGACAGAGCATTAGAACACAAGAGCCAGCAGTGGGGAAAAAAAGTCTTTCACAGCTCCAGCACAAAGGGAGGATGGCTCCTATTAACATGGTATAAGAAGTTTCTTCCTTCTTTGGTCCTATTAGTATGGCAAAGAAATTTCTGATTTCTTTTATAAGGCTCTTGTTCTGGACAGAAGGCTGTACATTTTAGTACCTCAGCCCTCTCACTGAACAAGTCTCATCATTCTTTCTAAATTAATCCCTATTTTCACTGCAACGACTGCAGTTAAATGCTGTCCTAAGTCAGAAAAAGAAAAGATTTCCAGAAGAAACAAAACTGAGAAGTATTTCTAGTTTTCAGACTGCTTCATTTAATACTTTAATATTTGAGGACCTCAAGTTACAACCATTTTTTTATAGACAGAAGAGCAGGGGCAGTACATATCTAATATTTTTCTCACTGTTTTCAAAGTATTTTCTACATTTGGATGACAGTGATTTTTTCCCATCTGAACAGCCTCCTCTATGCCAAGCCTTTTTGCAAGTCTCCTTCATTGCACATATTGATGTTTTTCCCACCTTAGTTCTCAAAACACTTCCCATTTGCCCTGTGAACACTTGCAAATCAGAACATTACCTGCTCCTGAGCGTCTACTGAACTGTGAACAAAGAAATGCCCAAAGAAGAATTTGTTGTTCTGAATGGGAAGACTGAACTGAATGTGTTCAATTTGGAAGAGAACAAAATAATTATCTGCCAAAAGCTGGCAAGCTGAACGCTTACAGCAAACTACTTGAAGGTTCCAAAGAGATTAACAGCGACACAGGATTCTTCCTCCCTAAAGAACATGCACACAGAGTATTGAAAGCTGTTCACAGTCAATTTTACTGAGCTCTTAAATTAGTCCCATTTTTTTTTTTTATGTACCATTGCCAATATGTTCTTGTAATGCATCATTTCTCAGAATAATTCAGGGTTTGAATAAAAAGTGATTAAAGTGAACCACGGCCACATCAAAATATTCCATCTGATTCAAGCATAGTTGTGTCTTCCACGTGTGTCAGACAGTGCTGAGCGGGCAGGGAAACGCTGCTAAAGACTACAGGACACTGATAGATCCTCCTTCACCACGGACCAGCACAGCCCAGGAAAAAAAGCTGTAATTTGGGGTACAACACAGCAAGAGCCACGTGAGTCAGGGCAGCACATGCATGGCCAAGACTGCAGCTATTAAAAGAGCACGAGAAGATTAAAGGAAGTTCAAACGCTGCTTTTATTTTCTAACAGAACTGAAGGGATTTCGCTGCGTTGCTGAAGTGTTTGGAACCAGAAGTTTTGCCTCAAATGCAGCTTTGCAGACAGGAAATAACTGAACTGTGTTATCCAGTGTTCCTCCAGCAGCCTGATAAAGCACAGTATCTTATAAAATGCTGCACACTCCCTGTATGATAGAGTGGTGGTTAAACCAGGTCTCTCTTTACAAATAAAATCATTAGATAGTTCACACCTTTGTCTCAGGACCCCAATTTCGCTCTATAAATACAATCACAAAATGCAATTAGTTCCTCAGAAGCAAAGAAGCTGCAGCAGACCCCGAAGAACTCCATGCAAGAATGAAAATGTAGGACTCAAAGGACTCAATGCACCTAAGAATGGTGTTTGCAAGGACCATTTTCTCCTGTCACATGTGACACATATGGTGTGTGCAGATTCTGATGTGGAGCACAAGTAAAAAGCCCAGATGTGCTCACCCTCAAAACCTCTACAGCTGCTGCTGGGCTCGACATGAGAAGCTGCAACACCTCTTTGGCTGAGACAGAGACACCTGGGTGCAGATCTGTTAAAAGATGGTTTTAAGCCTGCAATTCTGCAGTTCCCCAATAACGTTCTTTTTACAGCGTCCCACCAGCCTCTGGAACATTTGTATACTCTGATATATTCGAAGCTGCATTTGTGCACCAAGAAAAACACAGTCTGGTGAAGCAGCTTGAACTGCAAATTTAACTTTCTTAATGCACGTTAACAGCAAGAGCACTGACAGGCATAATTTCAACCAAAACAGCACTGTAATAAAGCTTCTTTCCAACTGCTTCCCTTAGCAACTCATGCTCGGAGGAGAGTCAAAATAACAGGATTTATTCCACTTTTATCCTTGCTAGTATTTCAGCTGTGTTTAAAGACATGAAAGCATTTCAGAAGTCAGACTATTTTAAACCCATTGCAGTTGTTTTTCGTAGCCAAGGGAATTGTACTTGCTGCTGCTGCCCTTAGATTTTGGAATTCTACTATCAGGAATAACGAGCTCCTTTCAACATAACACCTTTAAAACAGCATCTAGGTATGACCCCAAACCACTCTTCCTGAGGACCAAAGACTTCTGGCTTTTTGCTTCTCAAACCATGCCCAGGGCTAATAAAATACCTTGATAATAGGTACGTGTTCAGCCCTTCAGTGGGAAAAGTCAGTCATTTATGCAAATAAGTTACTCAGCTGCTCTGGCCAGATTAATATATTCCCAGTCTCCTGCCTTCAGGGATAGGGACTGTTCAGTATTTCCATTAGATGACTCAAAACTACCTTCTGTACTGAAAAGAAGAAAAAAAAAAAAATCTTGCAAGCAATCTGATGCTCTGCTGTTCTAGTAGCCGAATCCTCCAAAGAGAAATTGTAACTGAAAATAAGCAGTGAATAAGCAGGAATTTCAGTCACCATTTGAAAAATGAAGCATACTGAGTGCTTTATACACCTTAATTGCACGAATCAAGCTCTTAAGATGCTTCATTTCTTTTTTTGATGTTTTCTGATCAAACTGGCTGGAACAGTGACCTTCCAAGAGCAGCACAACATTCTCCAAGGGCACCTCAAGAGAACCCATGAGCAGATTCATCCTGGCAATCCAGTCTAGTCTGCAGCACTCGATGTGTGCCACATCCCAACTTTAATTCCTGCCTGCAGCACCTGCCTACGTGTGGGCACTAATCCTACACACTTCCAGTACGTGGCACTCCTGAATTATTCATAAAGAAGAAACAAGAAGGGTCGCTCCAGCAGGATGCTGCCCTGGCCCGACAGGCTGCATTCCAACAGCTTGATCATTCCTGCATTCCTGCACTACATCCCTTCCTCCCCCTGCATTAGAGCACTGCAGATCAATAGGAAAAGCACTGGCTCATGGGAGGGCAAGCAAGAGGTTTCAAATCCTTGGCAGCTGCATTTGGAAAGGAACAATTCTGGATTAACTCTCAGGGACCAGCAGACACCTCCTCGTGCCCCAAACACTGCTGTTCAGAGCTCTCTACCTCTCTCCTTATAATCCATCCATACATTTAAAAATCATTATGCTTGTACAAAGCAGTGTGATCTCGCTGCCAGTGTCTGAGGGATGTGAGCTCACAGGGCAGTGATCAGCCCGGGGGTGTGTGTGGAACAAAACAGATGGTTAGAGCGGATATACC